CCTAATTCCAATGCCCACTCTTCAAACTATCAACATAAGGCTTTTATTTACCTTTTTAAAAAGAAGGATTTGATTGGCCAACAAATTGTTACTAAAATATTTTCCTTTTCTTGGTAGTATGGGTATGACTTTAGTTTACTTTAGTTTAAAAATCTTTGGCTACTCATTTAAATCACTAAAATTTTGAGATTTCATGGGATTGGAGAAAGCCCACATGGCAATTTGTGTAAATGATTTTGCCCATTAATACCTGTAATTTATCCAATTGAGAACCCTATCATCCCCCCCATTATCTTCCCATGCCACTCTTTTTTTTTTTTTAATAATAATTTGTATTGTATTTAGATAAAAAAAAATTACTTTTAAAGAGAAAGTTGTTTTTACATTTTGTACACCCAACTATTGGAAATTGGTTTAAGATATTGACACTAAAGTATTGTAAAAGAGATCATATGTTACATGTTTGTGGGCTTGAGTGACTCATTTGTCGCTCGATGATCGGCTTTCCAACTTGCATCGGCATAGGTTTGGGTTTTGGTTAAGCTATTAACATTTCATTTTTGATTTTTTGAAAACATCATGATCCTCGTTCGAATGGTTTCGAACAAGTTTGTAAAGAGTTTCAAATTGCTTTTTTCAGCAAAAAGAATGACGAAATAACTTATTTTCTTGTCCTTATTTCATGCAAATATTAATTAGATAGAATTAAAAAAAAACATACGATAAAATCATCAGTTCTTACATTTAATCTTGTCCCGTCTAACGTGCTAAATATGACATTGAAAATCTTTGTTTGAGAACAAATTGGGAGGTGTTAAAATTTGGTTGCATGCTTCTTGGATACTTCATGGATGTCATGTCAGGGTATAAACTTTTGAAATTGAGACAAAAAATTTCCAAAAATGACTGCAATTTTTGGCCAACAATGGAAGCGAAAAACAGACCAATATTTGTCCTCTTCATAAACATAATTGGGCATATTCAGTCACTAGTCTTTTTCCTCAACTCTCTCCTTTTTTTTTTCACATCGACCCTTCTATTTTCACTTATTACTGTTTTGTGACCATTTTTCACAATTTTTTTTCGTGTTCAATGACATCGATTAAAATTTGAATCTTAACATCTTGTATATGATTTGTATAAGTAGACATATAATGTAAGACGAAAGATTCTTTCTCGACACGATTTGACTTTTGATCTACAAAGTGTTACACCATCGCTTTAGGTTTAAATTCGGAAGAAATGGAAAATGTAATATACATGAAAGAAAGGGGAAAAAGTAAATCTCAACATATTCAAACCCCAATTTGCAATTGGTGGGCCCATATTACCTCTGGCTTCTTTCCAAAAATATAATTGTGCAATCAATGTATTAACAATAAAACCATAATAATATGTATATTATTTCAATGCCATTGATTGTCGTGACTAGCCAGAATTTAGAGAAATGCTATTCATCCTCATTGGGGATGCATCCTCAATCTATGTGACGTTTATGTGGTATTAAATGATAGGTGAAATTAAATAAGTCATTTAATTTCACCTATCATTTAACTAATCATTTACACCCACATAGACTGGGGATGAATTCCTACTGGGGATGAATAGCATTTTTCCAGAATTTAAGCTCCTCAACATAATATTTTCGAGTACAGTCATAAAAAAATTATTTACGTTGCTAATTTTCCTTTAATATTTTAATAATATAATGCAATAGGGTAATATTCACTCACATGATCAGTAAAGTCGACAACATCGTTGCTAGTAGAATGTCATCGACAATGGCCACCACCACGACAATCTATTGCTGATGTTGTTAACTACCTCTAGTCGATATTATTCTTCAAGATTTAGAGTCGCTAATTATCAAGAAAACGTCGACAATGTCGATCAATAATTGCAATTACGAAATTTTGTAAGAACATCACTTGTTAAAAGAAAACAAATTATGTAGCAATAATAGTATTTTTATGGCATATTAACAACATAAATAATTATTTTTAATATTACGTTCATTGTATACAACAAAAGATAATACAATTCAGTGTATTACGTTTACTTCACGAATCAAATACCATATCAAATGGTACGATTAGACGAAGAATACGACCAATCATACTACAGTATCAGATATATTGGCATAATGTCACGTGACATTCTATCATTGAATTATTTAAAATACGATCAATTTTATCATTCAATCATCTGTTGTCACCTACACTTCTGTCATTGTATATATTAATATTCTTTTGACAAAGTGACATAATCCGTGACAAAATTATAGTTGGATTTTATTTGATTAAAGCTGAAAATAAGTAGAGAAAGGACGTAACACAAGAAGAGAGCCTCATTTTCCCTCTCTATTGTGTAAACTAAAGGAGGAACAGAAGTGGGACCCATCCGACCGTTATGGGTCCACCCATAAAAGTGGTCCCGACCTTTATTTACCCATAATACTTGTTGCCGGCTGCGCTCAATGACCCCACCGTCCTAAAATTGCATATACATTTTTTTTGTTGCTATTGCCACTCTCGCCTCTTAGACCCCACTTTTTGGAGTTCTTAGCCTTTTGTATATTAGCACATAGTTATTCCCAATGAAGATTACATAATGCGATTAAGAATTTTATTTTTTTCAACGTCTTTCGATAAATTGTGTCCAAAAGAACTTTACGAGAAAACTAATCTAAGATGATTTTTTTTTTTCAATAAACTATTTAAAAAAAAAAATAGAAGCAAAATAAATTTGGGACCCGTAGGAATGAGCCTTTCCATTTAAGGTGGGTGACTATGTCCCCATAGCTTTAGATTCGCAAGTCGAGAAAGTTATTTTATTTATATATTGAGACAATTTTGATTAAAAACTAAATATGTTTAACGTTAGTCTTATTTTTATACAATATAATGCTCTAACAATGAAAGTAACTTGAAAGCGATCACGATTGAACAAATTATTGACGTATAATAATGAATAATGTGACATAAACACAACTTTAGAGTATGATTTTTATTTGTTTTTTAAAAATTCTATTAACTCTTAATCTAGTAACTCACTACCTATTCTTTATTTATCTGGTTGTTGTGCCCCTTCAATTTTTTTTGTCTTTTTTTCTTTTCCCTCTTTCATATCATATAACAAAGAATCAAATTATTAACAATAAAAGGATATAAAATATGAATTACGAAAAATTCTAGAAATCCCATCAAATTGATATGGAGTTTTAGTGTATGGTTGGTGTGAATGTTTATTCTAAACTGATGTTAGGGATGACAAAAAATTCAACAAACTCGATACCCAATGGGCATCGCCCTGAACGATTACCCGCTTAATCGGAGTATTCAGGTCGGGGACAGGGCGAGAAATTTTGCCCCCGGACGGGGACGGGGACGGGGACGAGTGCCCCGCCCTGTTTAATTTTTTTAGAATTTAATACTTTAAATGAAAAATTTCACGAAATTTTATTAGTTTTAATAGAAAATAACAACTAAATTTATTTGTCTTAATCTAATGAATGAGAGACAATAAAATAAATTATAAAAAACTTTTAAAAAATAAAAATTAAACGGGATAATAAACCCAGCCCTGTCCCGCCTCGCCCCGCCTTGCCTTGAAGGGCTAATGGGGAGGAGAATTGCTTGGAGGGACGGGGGATGAGGGAGGTTGCCCCCATCCCGTTGTCATCCCTAACTGATGTTTTGGTGCATGATTGGAAAGAGAGTTTGAGATTTGCTTTCTAATTTTTGATATCCTATTTATTGTTCATCGAGTAATTGTTGACACATTATTTTACATTAAAATGTCATCTATTTTTAAGCAGTCGTTAGAAAAAAGTTGGACACATTAATTTAAAATGACACGTGATTAATTAATTGGGTAGATACTAAATTGAACAGTAAAAATTGGAATTGGAGATGCCATTAGAGATTCTAAAGTCACTCGCTGTATTGGCAATAGCCTCTTTGGGGGGTGCCCATACTTTATCTCTCTCGTCTTCCCTGCTTTCCGGCAGTCATTACACGCACAGTGTAACACATGACTAAAGTGCCATTCTCACCCCCAAAAGCATACAACAATAAAGCAAAAGCCACCCTACCCCACCCCATCTATCTTTTTTCTATTACAACTAATGTATGCATTCTGCAATTTTCCAAGCTAATACTTATCCCCTTACAATCAGCTGCAATCTTTGAACACAGAAATTCAAGAAAATTGTTATCTTTGTGTACATTTTGTGGCTCCAGCTCTCTTCACGCTATTTTTTCAACCATTCTCTCCTATTGGTTTTTGGTAGTTTACAATATTTTTGGACCAACAGAAGATTATTGCATAAATTGTTAGATGTGATTCACTTCGCGCAAGATACTGATTTTTCGCAGTGGTAACTGGATGCTACATTTTGCAGCTACTATTGTTTTGCTGTATGTCCTCTCATTTTCCCTTTAATATTCTCTTTGCGTTGTGTTTTTTCTTGGTTTTATTTATTTGGTTATGGTATTTTCGTGGAATCTAAGTAAAGTTGATTCTCTCTTCGCACATTGTATTTGTTTATGTCTTATATAATTGATACGAAAAATACATGTATACTTACATATTTACATGTTTTACTGAACTCTTTGCATGTGCTTAACTATGTGAAGAAATGGAGCATTTTGCTGCATTTGGTGGTTGATTGATTGTTTTACGGTTTTTGGTTTATTTTTTCTTAATGCTTTGAAAGATAATGGTGTAAGGCTATACTTGTGAGCTATGATGTTTGATCTGGTGAGTTTCTGAGGATTTTGTGATTCCAGTTTCAGTGATTTTTGGGGAAAAATTTTGTCAGTTGAGATGGCAAGGTGATATAATTGCAATTTCATAATTGATTTCTTATAGTTGGCCCTAGAATAAGTCAGTCATAAATTTGATTGACGCGAGTTTGATTGCTGATATTAGTTTTCGTGTTCGATACAGAGTTGTGTCTAACAGAGAGAGAAACTTGTGATGATATTTGGTGATCGGAGATGGAGAGGGTGGTTCATAAGGCGAAACCACTTCCCAAAGAGTTGCCCATTATGACAAAAGTTTCAAATAATTATGACAATAGTTTGTTAAGAGAAGAGAGTAGGAATCCATCGACTGAGCGTGACTCAGGGCATTTAGACTCGGCTTCACTTGTGCAAAGATGGAAAGGAAAGAACTCTTCGACAGATAATGGAGAACTCATTCTTGATTTTGTTTCGTTTAAGGCGAGTGGTGATTCGTTCGAGGAAAGTGGCTCGACTTCATTCCATGGGGTGAGTCATCCTCCTGAACCCATTGATAAGGACCTGATGAGACCATTATATGTACCGATTGGTCAGAGCAATGGGGACAGAAAATGTTTCACTAAAAGCTTGTCTACGAAGGCTCCGTTTTTGGACAATCTTTCAATACGGGTACCGAGTATAAAGCCAAGCCTGTCACTACTTTCTCCGGCAGAGATCTTGGTTGAAGAATCTAATGACATAGCCCCCGTCTCCTCTTCATTTTCTGTTCCTTATCCATTGAAAAATACTACTGAAGGAAGTCTACCGATGGATTCTCAGGAGAAAGACGAATGTATATGGGATTCTTCACTACCTCCGAGTGGTAATGTTAGCCCCCACAGTAGTATTGATAGCACTGGTGTTTTCACGACTATGAGTATTGTCAATAGCTGCACTAGCACAAACCGGAGTGACGTGATAATGAGTGATGGGATGCTTAGTGTTGACAGAAACTACGAAAGTAGAAAAGGGAGCATTCGAGGGGACTCACTTGAGAGTACTAAAACTAGCCTTAGCCGAGCAAGTGATAGCAGTGGCCTTAGTGATGACAGTAACTGGAGTAATATAACTGGCAGTGCAAATAAACCTCACAAAGGAAATGATCCTCGATGGAAGGCCATTCTTGCTATTCGAATCCGTGATGGTACTTTAGGCATGAGTCAATTCAAGTTGCACAGAAGACTTGGATGCGGAGATATTGGAAGTGTGTATCTCTCGGAGTTGACTGGAACTCGGTGTTTGTTTGCAATGAAAGTAATGGATAAAGCGTCTCTTGCAAGCAGGAACAAATTGACCAGGGCACAGACTGAAAGAGAAATCCTACAGCTGCTAGACCATCCATTCTTACCGACACTGTACACTCATTTTGAAACGGACAGATTCTTGTGCTTGGTCATGGAATATTGTCCAGGAGGCGATCTGCATACCCTGAGGCAACGACAACCAGGGAAACATTTTTCGGAGTATGCTGCACGGTAAGCACTATCATTCTCTCGAATTCTTAATCTATTAGTTTTTTATTATTAACACAAGGACTTGTTGCTTCTACATCATTCATTTAGTGCTTATTTTTCCTGGGATTTATTTGTGAGCCTATCATACATGAAATCTTGTTTTAGCAAATGACAATACAATTCATTTGTGGCCATGTTCTTGATTGAGATTCTATCCTTCAAATACGTAACCAATTTTATAATTTTTTATTCTGCAAATAACATCAGCTTGTTCATACCTCTTATTTTGTCATATCTAAAGACTTCTTGATTCAAGTTGCTAAATTATTTGAGTTTGTTCCTTGATTGACTCAGGAAGATACATTGGTTGTAGACTAAATTTAATTTCTTGCATTGAATTACTAATTCAAGATTTAATCCTGCGAGTTTTGACTACAGGCTTTGCAATTTGCTATTGTAGTCTTTGCAAGGATAGACTATTAACAGCTACATCTTGCTCCCTTGATGAGTGAAGTCTCTCAAATGTGCAGAACAATGTTTCATTTAGTTTATTAATTTCGTTATGATCCATTACATTTTCAGATACGTGAGATTTGAGAAATATAGATCCTTTTGTTTATGGCTCATTTTCATGATAAAAAGAGAAAAGTATAAAGTTCTGTAGTATTGCATGTATACTTTATACATTGTCTAACACTCTGTATAGGAGTAGCTCTGAATTGTGTGTTAATATTGACAATACTGTTTCTGACTGAAATTAGTTTATTGTTTACATGCTTTCTGCTTTAAATATTAGGCATGTATGCCAATTGCCAAGCATTAAGAGAGCTGCATTCAAGAATTTTTAATATATTATTTGTTAAAAGATAAATCTTCCATTTCAGGCATTTACATTTCCCTTCAATACAAGTCAAATATTTGTAATTTTTTGATTGTCACGGCATTTGATATTTATAATCAACAAAAAGAGTGACTATGTTGCTGGATTTTCAGTTGACCAATGGTTCTCTGCTTTGTTGAAATTTACTGCTTCCTTCATATTCTTTACCTCATAACATTCTGAAATATGATTTCTTGTGACTGAAGAATAACCTTTGGGTTTCATAAATGCAGGTTTTATGCTGCTGAGGTTTTACTGGCGCTCGAGTATCTTCACATGTTGGGAGTTGTGTACAGAGACCTGAAACCTGAAAACATTCTGGTTCGCGATGATGGCCACATTATGCTTTCTGACTTCGATCTTTCCCTGAGATGTGCAGTTTCGCCAACCCTAATAAGAACATCTGGATCTGATTCTGATCCTTCTAAACGAGGAGCTGCATTCTGTGTACAGCCAGTGTGCACTGAGCCCACATCAGCATGTATTCAGCCATCATGTTTCCTTCCTCGAATTTTCGGACAAAAAAGTAAGAAAAATAGTCCCGGAAAACCACGAGCAGAGCTCGGTCTGCATTCCGGCATGCTGCCCGAGCTAGTTGCAGAACCCACTGCAGCACGGTCTATGTCATTTGTTGGCACCCATGAATACTTAGCCCCTGAAATTATCAAGGCAGAAGGCCATGGAAGTGCAGTTGATTGGTGGACATTTGGTATTTTCTTACACGAACTACTCTACGGTAAAACCCCATTTAAAGGCTCGGGGAATCGAGCAACCCTCTTCAACGTAGTCGGGCAGCAGCTTAAATTTCCAGACTCACCCGCAACCAATTATGCCAGCCGGGATCTTATCCGAGGACTACTTGTTAAAGATCCACAACAACGGCTTGGGGTGAAGAGAGGTGCAACAGAGATAAAGCAGCACCCTTTCTTCGAGGGTATTAATTGGGCTCTGATACGCTGCAGTACACCACCGGAGGTGCCAAGACCAGTCGAGATGGAGCCCCAAGTGAAGTTTGAGCAAGTAAGCCCAATCGTCAGCAGCCACAGCAAAAGGGTGGTAGGAACAGAGATGAAGCCTGGGGGAAATTTTCTGGATTTTGAGTTCTTTTAGTTTAGGAATATAGGATTCTTGTCCTGTTATATCGTCTGAATCATCTTTTAATGGATTTCTCCCTCTGGGTTTTTGAAATGATTTAAGAATCAAAACATAATGATAATGTTCTTAATTTAGCCAATTTAAAGCCATCTAACAGCATGCACAAAATTCTAAATCCCAGCAACATAGCTTCACTATCATCACGATTAACAATGATTCTAAATTAAGGACTACTCTTCTTTCCTATGTATCAGGTAACATGATTCTTGATTAAGCTCTTGTTGGAAACTGATTTTTTTTTTTTTTCGAAATCACTTTTTTCTTACTCATTTTCAATCACATTTTCCCAAATAACTTTTCACATTTCTCCTCAATTTTTTCTTAATTTTCAACCACACATTCTCTAAAATATCACTTTTCAAAAAATTAACTTCACACGAGGACTGAGATAATTTGAGCTGGGCTATAATTGAATCTTTGAGGAATATTAGGTATGCAGGTCAGAATGAGATCGAACAAGATTATAAAGAGAGAGACAACAAAATAACAAAATGAAGTTATATTTCAATTCAGTTGCAGGACTAAATTTTATATGCAGTTAAAACATGCTTTTGTTGCAAGGAATTTTATTTCTTTAAATCTTCCAATACATTTATACGATAAAATTTGACACTTGTGATCTTCTAGTTCGCGCGACATACCAAACATATTATTAATGGACGAGCAGAATTTGGTATCACGAGTACAATGAAAACTAATCCTTATAAGTGACAATATAGCTCAAGGACGAGAGAGGAGGGGATTTGCATTGCTGCATAACCATCATTGGTCCAGCACAATTCGAGTTTGTGGACTCGTTCAAGCCACATTATATGTGGGACATGTAGCGTTTGGCTCAGCTCTTTCATGCCCCTATGACATTTGCTTTTCATGTTATATGAGTAATCAGGACATCGGAGAATATCACTAAGTCTGATCTATCTCCATTCCAACGGATAAACTCCCCCTATGACTAGAACTTCTTGTGCTAGCCAAGGGTGTTACTAAAGTGCAGACGATAATAAGCTCAAAATATCCAAAAACATTTGAAGTCCTACACCGCCAGACCTTACTTTTTTATTTTTATTTTCAATTTTCTTGGAATTTTTTTTTTAAAACTAAGACGTAACGACACAGGCTGCAAACCATTCAGTATGAACTCAAATATTTCTTATCAAAATCCCAAATTATGGGCACATTTAATTCAGGAAAATGTTTTACTAGTGATTTGAGTCTTACTCCAAAGAATCCTCTACAAAATAAACTCATTGCCATGTTCTAACCGATGCTCCGAATCAATATCACCCTCAAACCCACCCTATAAAGAGAACCTTGTATTGGTCCACCTCAAATAAATTCGTTAATCAACAAAATTTTATTCCAACACTAAATGGTAATCAACTCTTTTTGCAAAGGTCCCTTGCATATTCTATTTCATTCAGTTCAAATTCAAGAATTTTGTTAAAATCACTAACCGTAGTTATCCAATTGTATCTCGCATCACTTTTGAAAAACTAATCATATCTGCATAATAACATCATATGTTCATGACGAATGACCATAACATTACAGCATACACTACATCTTCAGTTGCACAAAAAACCCACATCTACAAAATATTCTTAAATCAGTGAACGACAAATGTAAGTCATGAAGGAAATTGAATGTTCCATCCATCAATCCAATGCCACTGTGATCCAACTAAAAATGAATAGCAAGAAAAAGGGGATAACATTAAAAAGGAAACAAAACCCAAACCCCACTAGTCCATGGGATGACAAATGTATAGATGGACACATTTAAGTTTTACAACACAAGTATAGATATATGTATATATATTGGAGCTAAGACTGAAGAACTGGTAGAGAGAGCACCCAGGTTTAACACGAGCCAGTAGCACGCTACCTTTCGTGCCAATATTAGCCATCAATGCATGGAAAAGAATCACTTCAGATAACAAACTAATTCTCTCATGGGGATGTTGCAACGGCTGTTCCCGTTTCATTTTCAGGGAAACCGAATTTCTCAAATAGACCCTGAAGCAGCATCAAGATACAATATATGGTGATTGATGCTAAAAAGAGAGGACATATAACAGTATATTAGAGCTACATATAAACTGGCATACCATTGCATCGTTTATTGCATAAGCAACGCAGTAGTGCTCCTGAAAATCAGCAATTTTAGAATAAAAATCATCGAACTCCGTATAAAAAATTTTAATTTGTGGGGTGGGCTTCGTGAAGTTGCACCTGATTGGTTGGCGAGGAACATCCATTATTGCAGAACAAAGAAAACATACACGCCAAGGAAAAAGCACTTACAAGATCTACTAGTGCATATATGCCACTAGTGTGGCTTATTATATTTAGCTTAGAAATCATGCATGGAAGAAATTTGGTCAGAACAGCAAAACTTTGTTAGAATTTCCTCGGAAATCTCAATTTTTTCATGTTAAAAACTATACTCAACCTTTTTCTTTTAAGAGAAAAAAAAAAATCGTTCTTGCTCTTTTGAAAAGGAATTCATGAATGCAATATTCATTATTCAGCTAAAAGAACTTTTTTCTTGTTCTTTTTTTATTTTCCACATTAACATCTTCCTGACTTAACCATATAACCATATTACACAGATAAAATTACCACCTTAAATCATATTTAAGAAGATAAAAGAGACAATTTTATAAATTATCCCACAGAAACATTGTATTCTTCAAGTTGGACAAGACTATCCAATAACTTCTTTTCCATCGCAATATAAGAAGTAACAAATTCTTGCCTGCAGCATGTACCACTCTTCAAACTCATCGAACAACTCCAACCGCTCAATCCTGATAAAAAGAACACAGAAAAGAATATTGAAAGAGCGTCTCTAGAATACATGCAGACAAGAAAGAGCAAAAATGCATACCAAAAATCTTGAAAGAACCAACTGTTTAGTCTTAGAGTAAGGACACTTTGAAACAGAAAAAATAAAAAAAGTTTGTATTCCAGCAAACACTTGGAATCTTCATATATAGCAGAAAGTTCAGATAGCAGTACTTGCTTTCTAAAAAAGGTCAAATGTAATGATGACATTCCCTGTATGTCCATACATTTATTATCACAGTCCAAATTAAGAAGTAAAATTCGATACTCAACTGGCACCTGAATCATATGGTATCGTTAAGATTTAAGTTCTTATTTAAGCTACTCTTTGGATCTAAACACGTAGCATGGAAAATGGTTAATTAAAAGACGTACTGAATATCCTAAATTTTCATTCAACTATTTTAAAATATTATGCAATTTCAACAGCATCCCCAAATGCACCATAGAACTCTAAACATCACAATTCTACCAAAATGTAGGCCCAGATATTTTAATCACATTACTCAAAGCAGAACACTGCACTAGGAGAGTTTGAAATGGTCATGGAGACGTAATATTTCATCAATCACAGAAACAGAGGTCACTGTCCAATTCTAATCCAAAAAGTTTACATACGGATGCAATGGCAAAACACCAGAAAGAGCTGCTAAACCCAAACAGCCCCAGCTACAAGAATGGTGCATTGCAGAGGAACAACACCGTTAAAGATAGATAAGGTCGAAGTTTATCATGAAGTTAAAAGGAGATGCAAAATTAATGCATATCGGAAAACACATTTTCAAAACAAAACTGAAGACATTCAACTCAACAGCGTTTGTGATATCGAAAACAGGATTCAATTTGTCTACAGCCGACAATGATATATTTGGGCATGAAATTGAGGTGCAGGAGTTCAGTAGATGCATATTTCAATTTTAAAGATCCAAAGCTTTCAGGGGTTCTTAGTGCGCTTTAGCAAATAACAATCATGAGCAGGAGCAAAATATCATACAAGGAACCATAAAGGTTAAAGAACCACATAAATATAATAGCAAATACATATTTCTCTTGTGCAAGAAAGAACGGTTTCTACCTGCGTTTTTCTTGGGCTTCGATGAAATTACTATACACTTTCAGCATGTCCCAGGCAACAGCTCTCTAAAGCACCTCAATATAGATCATAATAATGTGTGACAAATATGAAACTCAACCAAAGTTGATCAATAAAGGACAAAACCCAAAAATGCAGGGAAAGAGATGCAAGTAAAGAAAAAGAAGAAACACGAAACTTTAACAGCCTTTGCTAGGGAAGGGTAAACAAGAATAGAGCTAATACCACATTTTCAGTATTGCTTATATATGAATAGCATTCCCAACCCATTCATTTTAAAGTAAGTTACAGAATGACCGTGTTCACAAAACAGATATGGGTTTAAATCTCAGAATCCAAAAGCTAAATCTTAGCATATCAATCTATATCTTCCAGCAGCTTAATTAATGGGAAGCTTTCTGGACCTAATACCCTCCCCCACACCCTATGGCTTCATTCATTTATGTATTAGGAAAGTCTGTCCAAACTAGATGCCCACTAAGTACTAACAGACATTACTACATTTACTTGCAAAGAAGTACTCCTCCCTTCCAAGAAAGCTAAATTATTTGACATGGTGAATATCAGGTGATGTTCATGTGATGACACTCTTAAACATCAAGGCTTGTACTCTAACAGAAACTTGAGCTTTCTAACCATCTTTTTGAAGTATAAAAATGTCATTTAAATTCTACCAAAGAAGTATCTTTCTTCCTTTTTTTCCATTTCTTTTTCTATCTGTCCCCCGTATACTGGGGAAGGGGACCCAAGAAGCAATACTTTTCATCATGAGAGAATACCTGCCATCCTTGATCCAGAAAAAGTTTCTCCTTAGCAAGTAAAGTTGGCGTAGCATAAATGCTCAACAGTGCACAACCTCGACTCTGCAATAAAAAGTCATTATTACATCTGTGCTCACATACACCTCTAAAAAAATATCTTGACAGGGATTATTACTCTTTTTTGTTTCAATAGACTAGAGAACACAAGAAAGCTTCATTGGCGCATAAAGCAGTATATAAAAATAAAAGATTGAATAATTTCAGCTCAACTTCTCTGACTCATGAATTTGTTAAAGGAAATCACATATGTGATAGCACATAAGAAACTGTAAGTAAGATGCTACCATGTTTTGCGTAGGCCTAAAGAGGCTCCCATTAAAAAGTGACGGTTATTAAGAGAGAGGAGATTTCGGTAGAACATGTCAGAAGAGAGAGGAGTAGACTAAAAATAACATGGCCTATGGTAAAGTCGAAGAATCTAGTTGCTTAAGATCCCGTAGATCTAGCACATAGCAATTTAACCGAATGGAGTGGGGGAAACAGTTCATGTAGCCGACCACAATTTATTGGGGAAAAGTCTTAAAGATTGTCTGGGAAAGGTACTTGTGGGTCCTATAAATGTGTGGATAAAAAGAGGTCTGACCATTTATAAACATTAGACAAACATAGGCTTAGTTTTTTGTTGTTGTTTTTGGGTCAATAGTTTAGATAATCAAATCATAACCATTCTTATTCTTTGGTGGAATGTCATGAAAAATAACAAAAGCAAAGGAACCTTTTTATTCTTAGCTAAATCTATATTCTTTTCCTTTTTCGGTGCAAAAAGGAGGCAAAAGTACCTCCAGATTTCTAATCATCTGTTGACCAAAAGCGTCATCTGGATGAATCTGTTAAACAGCACGAATATGTAGTCAAGAGACTATAGCATAAATAAATCCAGTTTCCAAGAAAGTGAAAGCAGTCAGCAGTAGAAATGGAGAAACCCAAAGATAAATGAAAAATTGAGGTTTAAAAAGTTCCACAACCTGCTCATATAAGAAAAATACAGCTGTAGAAAATGTCTTAGAAGCCCATCTGACTATACCCCGGCTTGAATCTGGATCCAAGTATATAAGAACGCATTCTGCAATTATAAATGTTGGCAAACTGATAACAACATCAGATTGGCAAGGTTTAACCATTTTTTTCACTTGAACCAAAAATACAAGATGATCACTTTATCAGAACCGCATTTTTCCTTTTTGGGAGAGGGGGAGGTGGATGCAATTGGAAAGGAAGAGAAATTTATAACTCAAAACCAATTATGGAAGTTATCCAGGAAGAATCTGAAACATAACAAAACAAGACATATACATAGCACAAGAGAAATAGACCAAATAGAAACAGGAATCATACATAAGACTCTAATTTTCTGCTAAACACATCTGAGCGTGCTACAGGAATCAATCAGAGGGTCAAAAACGAGTTTCAGATCTCAAATCTTTTATTTGAAAGAGCTATTTAAACAATTATCTATGAGCACATCATCCAAGATCATGCATGTTAGCTGAAGAGCAGGGAAAAATATCCAATACAACAACAGGCTAAGCCTTATCTAATGAAACCAAAACTTTTGCAAACACATCGTGCCGTGTTCATTTTGTACACCTATCACAAAAAATACAAATACGTGTAGATGACGCTTGGGATAGAATGAGAAAAAAAGAAACAAAATAGAAAATAGTATTAATTACATAAACAATAGCTAGAAATTCGTGCAGACCAAAATGCCATAAAATCCCCCAAGTGAGGAAGACTATATATTGACCTAAATCAAAATTATACATACTGACCTAACTCAAAATTAAATCTACATGAATATGAAGCAACAAAATTTTTAGTTGCCTGGTATGACAAGAATCAAGCCAAAAAGAATTACATCAGACTTTTTCTCGCAAGTTGAAAAATTGAATAAGTTTAGAATAATATATCATCTTGAAGTTGATATCAATGAATGACTAAACAACCTTCAGAAAACACATCAAGAATCCAAACTATTAAGGTGGTTCACACCACGTTCATATTTCATAATATGTACATAAGGAAGAAAATTGAAGTAAGTACACATACCTGGGATCTATATTAGCTAAAGTAACAATATCATCTAACTTCTGTAGATCACGCAAGTCAACAGGAAGTAATTTGTAGTGATCGCTAAGCACTTCCCCTTTCTCTGCACAAATACAGTTGCTTCATCGTTATGGCAAAAACACTTACCCAAAACCAAATAAAATTTTCCAACCCATGTAACCGGATTATATCCTGAATAGGAATGAGGGTGGAACTCACAACCTGAATTGGAAGTAAGAATATACTAGGGAACCAAAGATTAAAAGCCACAAGAACAAAACAAATTCACATCCTGAAAATCAAAATGCAATATTTATTGTTCAACCAATTAACAATGACAATCAAATCAGAATAGTAACTGCTGTAACATGTCACAGTTCAAAATTTACATTTTATACTTCAACCAACTGCATTAACAATTTATGAAGATATGTCTACAAAATAGAAAACTTATGACAATTAAAATTTTGGAATCCAACCTCTGCTAAGAATATACAAATGAAATACCATGACCTTAAACATTTTTCAACATGTACTTGCATCAGGAGAGCATTGATCGACTTCTATAGTAATAACAATTATCTAGATGACTTTGCAAACTGATGAATCTCTAGGGCCATAGATCAATCCTATACAGGATTTCTGTTTCAGCAACCTTAAAATGCAATAATACACATGCAGCATGTGAAAGATGAAGATTTCCTCAGACAACAGACTATGTTGTTTAAGACAAAGCACGTACCGAGATGACTACACTTATATTCTCTCATTGCAATTGTACCCAAGTAAACAAACAGAACAAAGTTTCTGCGGGATCAAGAACTCATTGTATCATACTAGAGGTTTTAAGTAAAACTCCACACACATTAAACCATCCAATAAATCAGTTTTTATGAAGCATATTAAGTACAACAGGACATTGTGTCACTCATCAGCACTTCGGCTTTTAAAAGTATATATAATGAAAAAATGAGAGAAAAAATTGTTAGCCAATGAAAAAACATAAAAATATCTGTGCATACAAATTGATGAAGGTTACGTCCATCTTCAGAGATTCTAGGACCCATTTCAAGGAAGTAATGAGTCGTCATGACCTTGAAACATCTAACACCACTGCCTCCAGATTTAACAGTAAATCCAAAATTAATATGAGATACGCCCAAGTCGTAAGCTTACTATAGGGAACACACGATTAGAAATTACCTATATTCTTACCCTATCAAGCAAGCAGTTTAGTTGCCTATTCATTCTCAACAATCTCACCCTAGCTTGTTCACTAATGTCAGGTATTGTCTCTCTTTCTGTAATATTTAAGTATAAATAGAAGCAGGGTTTTTAAGTTACGTAGACAATTGATTATTAAATACAAAGTGATGTTGAAATCATGTTTTGTCCCGATTCTTCAATTCTCAAGAATTTCTCTATGTGCATGGTTCAGCAAAGTTTAAATTATAAATTAAGCTAGTCAAATACACTTTTAACCACACAATCTATGGATCCACTTTTCATCCACACATCTTGGGGGACACAATGCTTAAATTATAATTTTAACACTTCCAAACAAGCACTATCTCTCTCCTGCTGTCCCTGATGTTCTCTCCAATTATGCATCAATTTCATTTAGCAGAAACATTTTTACTCCATCAGCAAGATTATAGTTTTATAGTCATTTGCAAATATCACAGAAAAATGGGAGAAGTTGTACATCAGTAGAAGTCAGAGTCTCAGTCAAAGTGACCTAATTCTTACCTTGAGAAATTGATGCAGTTTCACCAACTTTATCCCTCAATTGATTGTAGGTTTCAATAAGAGCAGCTTTCTTACTGGTCACCTATCAAATTGAAACATAGACAAATGAGAAAAGACAGAATTGTGAGATAAAACTAATCATTACATGATTCCAATACATGAGAAATTAAAAGTAAAAGGATGGTATAGAAATTTGACTACTCAAGTAATATTTTGTGAATCCATATAAATCACTGGACGTGATGATTTCTTAAAAAATATATAAGCCAGCACGTGCAAAATACTCACATGATATTCCCGAGTTCTCCAAATTCATACCTCTATGAAGTCTAGTTCTACATACAGGTAAGGCGCTTTCCCTTCGTCCTATCAAAGAAGAATACAGTTAGCTTAAAGAAGAACAAATATTTTTTTATATTTCTGGAGTTTAATAAGCATATTAAAGAAGAACAAATATTTTTTATATTTCTGGAGTTTAATAAGCATATTAAAATGAACTATGTCAGTAACTATACCAACTCTAACTACAAGCAAAGAGACATACAAGCATGCACCGAAGGATCCATGTAAGCCTAGTATTGAACTAAAATTCTAACCACCGTCTAGAGGTTTTAGTTAGACTAAAGTATGACAACTTCCGTCCATCAAAATGGATCTCCGAAATCCAAATACACGGTTCATCAAATATTGCCTGTAGCTCGCTCAATAAGCATGGATAGTACAATACAATTTCTCTGGACAATAGATCCCCTCTCATACCATGAATGAAATTAACTCTTCCATTCCAACCAGGTAGGGATTCACCATTCTTATTGCAAAAGGATAAGCAATTCAAGCGTAATACTATGCTTACAGAGGCACACATGTCTAGGGGCAAGGTGTGTGAGAAGTGTCAACATCAGGAAGCATAGAAATCCCAGCTCAATACACACGCTGCTTTCTTGTTTAACAAGAAGTATTACTGTTACGAGTCATAAACGGAAGCGACACGTGGCACCATATTTCAACGGTGGGACCAGCTTAATGAAATCAGGGTATATTTTCCTAGCCTCTGATGTGGATTCCGAGGCCTTGACTTATTCCGAGGCCAATGTTGTTAGACGAAGCCATGGTTTCGTGGCCATGCACTATCCGAGACCCTTTTGCAGCTAGGGAAGGCCCACGTGGAAAGATATAACAATGATGAAGATCTTCATGTGAATGATTGACGT